TACAATGATAATCCATCCCACAATCAAATTTCATAAAAACCATAATAAATTTAAACCAAGTCATTACACACTACATGTCCAAGTACTCCCCAAAGTTCATGCAAACATAGTATGTCATCACTACTACCTAATGAAGTTGACTTTCTCATATTTTCAATTCGGTGAAGTGTAGGTCACCAATGTGGTATCCAAAAATATCATTGATGAAGACCAACGCATTAACTAGTGCACTCTCCCTTGCTTCACAACTACGAGCACATGGTCTACTAACAACGTTTAACAGTGCTTGAGAAGTCGGTGGGTCTCCCCTCTTAGTCGCAAGCAGCTTTGCCTGAAATCCTTCTGTAGTGAGTGTTAGCCATTCATGAACATATTTCCAATCATAACCCAATTGATACATTGTCTGGTTTAGAATGGCTTCAAAACTGCACCCTTTGTAGGTCAAGTCATAGTCCTCAACCTGTAAGTGTTGGCAGAAAAAAGGTTATGAGAACCAAGCTTTGTAAAATATAACAATAAATCCAGATATAAGCTATGAGTTCGACTTCGACTTTACCACATCATTTCGGTTGTTCCAAGCAATGCTTGCACAAAAGCCCTCAACATCATGACGCATGTCCGCATTTATAACTTGTATCAGCACCGAGGATAGTGTAGGCAGGGTGTACCCAATATTCGTAAGCTTAGTTACACATGCAATGACAGCATTTTTTTTGTGTAACAGTCTACGGGGGTGCCTTTATTTCCATCTCTGAGATTTGTACGGTACCTCTACCCCTCCTAGTAGCGATGGAAAAACCAATTCGGCATTGGATTAATAGACCATTATCTAAATGAAAGGTCTGAACAACCACTTCCTGAACCCAAAATTTGAGAGTGTCTCTTTAAGCTAAATAATTGGGTCAATTACCTATGGTACATTTAAGAATCACATATATATATATATATCAAAAATATATTTATACAAGAGTATTTGACACATTAATTTATTGAAAACATATAGAGTTGCTTACTATGCTTGGATGATTAAACGGTACATCCGGCAACACTAGATCGAATCCCATCCACTTTACATAGCCGCTGAAACCTATGACTTCCGGTGGAGGGAGATGATGACGTCCAGCCATCTCTTCTCACTAAAGTCAATATATCGAAAATCATATCACTGGAGACAATATTTTTCATACACAAAAATGCATATCACTAAAGTCAATTTTTTTCGTAAGTCTACAGATATCAAAATTCACATCACTAAACCCTATATATCTAAATTCAAATCACTGGAGCCAATATTTATCATATACCAAAATGCATAAACAGTAAGGTTAATATATCAAAATTCATATATGTATGTCACTGAAGTCAATTTTTTATAAGTCTATATATATCAAAATTCGCATCAATAAACCTTATATATCAAAATTCATATCACTAAAGTCAATATATAAAAATGCATAACACGTCAATATATCAAAATTCATATATGTATATCACTGAAGTCAATTTTTTTATATGTCTATATATACCAAAATTCACATCAATAAACCCTATGTATCAAAATTCGCATCTTTCCAAGCCCGGTTTCACATAGAACGAAGGGATGACAAGGGGTTGGCAACGAGTTTTACCACCTGGCGGCAGACAAAGGTCGAGGCTGAGGGCAGAGACGAAGAAGGCGCTGCCGGAGATGAGGGCGAGGCCGGAGACTTGAAGGCGCTGGTCGGAGACAAGGAGGTCGACGGAGCCACCACGCGCACCGGAGAAGAGGACAAGGGCGCCGCGTGCGCCGGAGCCGAGGATGAGGGCAAGGCTGGCTAGCCGCCGGAGGACGAGGACGAGGGCGCCGCCATGCGCGCTAGGGAGACGAGGACGAGGGATTGCCGCGCGCGCTCGGAGAAGAGGCGCGGTCGGATGGGCGGCGCACGGCGGGGGTGGTGGCACGGCGGAGTGCGTGGCGTGGATCCGATGGCGCTTGAAAGGAGAGAAGAAGAGAAGACACGCGTATATGTAGGGTTGGTACCTTTAGTCCTGGGTTGGGCCACCAACCGGGACTAAAAGACCTTTAGTCCCGGTTGATGGCCCCCGGGACTTAAGGTCAAAACCGTCAGTCCTGGGTTGGGCCTGCAACCGGGACTAGAGGCCTTTTAGTCCCGGTTGGTGGCCCAACCCGGGACTAAAGCCAAATTTTGGTGCGCGGCGAAAGTGCTACCTACTCGGCAGTTTTGTTTTCCGCCCATGCAACAGTTTATAACATATCCTTTAACATAAATAGGTTGAAAATTAGAAATTGCATAGTAAAAAAAATATAACTCAAAAAATTGCAATACAAATTTGCTTTCATATACAATTTATAATGCTTTTGTCTCATGCTTTAAATGTTTAATAACATATGCTATAAATTATAATTACAACTTAAAAATTCAAATTTCAAATCTCAGAAATTCAAATGTAGTTTTCTTTGACAAGATGATTTCAAATGAAAAAGTTGTCAACTACAAAGTTACATAACTTTTTGAGATCTATAGCTTTGGTTTTGATCATTTCTCCATTTGAGGACATTTTAAAAATTCAAATTTTAAATTTAGAAATTCAAACATAGTTTTCCTTGACAAAATGATTTCAAATCAAAAAGTTATCAACTATAAAGTTGTGTAATTTTTCGAAATCTACAACTTTTATTTTGATCATTTCTTCGTCTAACAAAGTCGTACTTCACATTGTGTGAACAATGTAGACTACAACTTTGTCGAACGAAGAAATGACCAAAACAATAATAAAGATCTTAGAGACCACGTTAATTATGATGTCCACACAAATAAACCTAATGAAACATAATTAACTTGCATACAAACATAATTAAAATATCCATACAAATAAACCTAATTAAAATACATAACCGTTCGAATAAATCTGATTAAACATAACAGTACGAATAAACCTAACTAACACATGGATCCTACAAACCGGCTACAACCCTAGTCTTTCTCCACTACCAGTAGTGTATGTCTCGGATTGTGTAACCACGGTCATTGTCTATATAATACAAGGCCCACACTACAACACTCTCCATTGCCTCACAATGCCGAGGACATGGCATCCCATAGATGTAGCCTACTGACAGACTATCGATGGACTGGTTCTGCCTAAATCTCACGCAATACTGGATGCCTGCTGTCGTCCTCTGGCCCATCGTTTCCACGAAGTCCCAAGCATACCCCAGTCGCTTAAGTGCTTGCGTGAGAATGGGTTGCAAGCCACATGTAGCATAGGTGAAATCATAGAGCAAAACCTACAAGCGGACAAACAAAAAATATCAGGAAGTGCTCAAACAATAAGAAGAATAAATAAACATTACTCTCATATCATACATGACGTACCACATCTATATAGTTGAATGTCGCATGCCTCTCGCTTACTCACGGCACATCCAGCCTGTCCTGACAAAAAGCTTCTATCTGCAAGGACAAGAAATCAGGCATACGGTAGCCAATTCGTTCAATTGCCTGCAAAGAAAGCAGCACGACATCGATCTGGGAGCCTATCTTGGTCGGCGACCGTCATCCAGTGTCTACGATGTCCAGGCGCACCTCATTATTGTACCTAATGGTGATGTCGAAGGCGAGACTGCACGTCCATAACTTGTCTCCTTCATCATTCACGACCTCACTTATCGTCATCTCAAAGATGTCCCACACCCCGAGTAGCCATAGTGTTGCTTCTAGCCACTTGACTGGTTTTATAGTCTATAACATATACAACAATCATACTATGAATGAATGTATATATGCAAAAATTATATTAGCACGCAAAACTTAAAATATTCCATACTATTGATGGTTCTGGGTAACGCGGAACGGCCCTATCTGGCGATGGCGCAAATGGAGGATCGCCAGAGTGAAAACCTTGTTCCTGTGGCTGGGGAAGTCCGCCGCCATTCATCGTAACTAAAAAAAGTAAAAAAACATCCCAATAAATATAGAACCCCCATATAAATATACGAGGCAACAATATATATTAGAGAAACATATAAACAATAAATCATCAAGATATATATATATATATATATATATATATATATATATATATATATATATATATATGCATGCCAAGTAAAACATTTTGCACATAATTTTGTTTAACGATTATTAACTCTCATAAAAAAACAATATTGCTAACAAAGATCTAGAAAACAATAAATGTTTAAGGTTATGTAGAAATGATGTATAAATAAAAATAAAATCCACCATTATATCTAAAAAACCACATATTTGAATATTTGTACGCTTATTACTAAAGCATAAAACGATAAACATTATTAGCAATGAAAGATTAGAAGAAGAAGTTGCTAACCTTTAGAAGATTAAAGATGAAGCCGGTGGCCGAGAGCAAGAACTTGCTCCCTCAAGCAAGAACATAGATGAACACCGATGAACAATAAGCAAAGACCAAGATTTGATTTGACCGGTGTGTCTCGGGCTGGAGGACAGTGGAAGTGGGTATATATAGGTGTTGACCTTTAGTTCCGGTTGGTGGAGCCTACCGGGACTAAAGGATCAACCTATAGTCCCGGTTGGAGCCAAAATCCGGGATAAAAGGCCAGCGGGACCTTTGGTCCCGATTGGTGGTTTCAACCGTGATTGAAAGGCAACCTTTAGTCCCGTTTTGAAATATAGACCGGGACTAAAGGTCCCTGCTGCAAAAACCTACTGCACTATCCGTTGGGCAGAGGATTCTAGTCCCGGTTGGTGGTTCCAACCGGGACTAAATCTCCTGTTACACCCGGGACAAATTCGGCTAGGACTAAAACCAAAAATCAAAAGTCTGTTCTCTACTGGTGTACCCTAGTCACTTTCTTTGTGGTCAAAGCTTTAGCGTCTGATATGCGGAGTATTCATCCTTGGGTATTGGAGGGGCTTTCTTTCGTGGTTGGGTCCTTGGTCCAGACATGCTATAGCACGTGTTAATGATAAAGATATGTCTTGATCTTCGAGCTTTCCATGATGGCTAGTGCAAGGGCTCAGGAGTATCTCAAGGAGAATTTGAGTGATGTTCATGCTATTATCGAAGACTTGGTTGGAGACAAAGGCAAGGCTAACAAAGCCAAACTTGAGATGGAGCAGACCTTCAAATTTAGGCCTTTGCTAAATACTGAGGCCGATTTGATGAGGTATTCTGAGATTGGTTGGGTCGAGAGGGAGAGGGTTAGGCTTCCGAAGGGTGAGTCGGTGCCTGAACCTCAGTTCAATGAGGCGGTAGTCTTTTGTGACTTCTTTGTTTGTGGATGTGCTTGAGGCTTTCCGAGTGCAGCTTCACCATCTGACCCCAACGATGTTTTGCATTTGGTCAATTTTTATTGGGCTTGCCAGACCTTTTACGCGGAGCTCGATATTAACTGTTTTTGCACACAGTATGAGCTGCACAACCAGATGAAGTGTATTCTATTGGATGGCGAGACGAAGGACGCTTCCATTCCAATGAGGGCTTCATGCCGGGGTGGGGGTGTGGGGGGGGGGTGTTAAATTTCTTATGCTCAGTGCCATCGTTTGGAGCAAGAAGACTAGTATCGCGATTTGTCCTACTTCAAGTCCACGAGGTGTGTTTTTAGAGATGAGAATGGGAATGATGCTTATCAGTATCGTATTGCTATGAAGACGGAGATTCTGAATCTGCTAACTCGCGTGGTGGCTTAAAAGAGTGATGGACGGAGGGCTTGTGAAAGGGCCTTTGAGTTTGCTGTCCGGTTTAGCAGTGGCCGCAACCTGGTTGTGGAGTTTCTTGCTGCTGTGGTTTGGCCTCTTGGAACTGACAAAGACATCATTTGATGGGTCGAGGCCCTGTCTGTTGAGATGCATGGCCACCGGTAGTGAATGAAGTAATTGGTCAATAGGCGGTAGTGTTCTCTGCAGTGCATAGTTTTGATGTATAGCACATCTGGTAAGCATTAATTCACGATATGCCTATCAAGATATATATATGGTTTAGGACAAAAAGGTTGTTGTCTAGTATCATTTAATAAAATGCACGACACATATAATAGCTTCAGTACTCTAGATTCAGCGATCACTGCCGGTTCGAAACCCATCATCACTGCTGGTTCTCGGTTCAAGAAATCAAACTAGCAGTAATAAGATAAGGATCACTACCGGTTCAAGGATAGACCCAATAGTAATATGACAGTGATTACTGCGGGTTCTACCTTCTACCGGTCTGTGATATTGCCACGACCCTAGATGGTTTGGTGGCTTGTGGACTCCATCCTAGCATGCACGAGATTGTGCGGTGCTCTAGAGTGAGATCGCATTGTTGAGAGATATTGACCTTATTTTAGCTAGGGCAACCTCTATACCGCAGGTTTTGCTCTTAACAAGAGGAATCAGACTGAGGGACGCAAGAAAAGAGGTGGGAGTGAGGAATGGGCCGATAGGGAAGAAGAAAGTGATGATGAAGTGATAATTTTTTCTCCTTTCAATATTATATTGTATAGGCACAAATACAATTAACACAAATTTTACACACCACCTTATATGGTCAACGAATTAGCCATAAGGAGCTTATTTTACTAGGGCAACCTCTATACCGGGTTTATAGTTTATACCATGCATGCTTTATACTCCGTATATAGAAGTTAGTCTTTTTGGTCGATGTTTGAATTGTCAATTTCCCTCCAGTTCCTGGTTGCTAGGGGCGTGGAGCACCATGGTCTCGATTGTGATTCCCGGTCCAAAAGCCATCATCACTCCCCACTCCGGCGCATCCCCTCCCTGCTTGGCCGCTGCTGCCCGACGGCGGCGCAACTCATCGAGCACGAAGATCACTGTGGTGCCACTCATGTTGCCAAACTCGCTGAGCACGTGGCGACTCGCCGCCAGTTTCCCGTCCTCCAGACCGAGCACTTCCTCGATGTTGTCCAGGATGGCACGACCGCCGGGATGGATCGCCCAGAAAAGGTCGTTCCATGCGGCGCTGACGCCGAGCGTGCGGAACGCGTCGACAAGGCAGCGTTCCACGTTGCACCGCAGCAGGCGGGGCACCTGGCTGGAGAGATGGTACACCATGCCACATTTGCTGTACTCCATGGAGATGGCGTCCTCGGTCTCCGGTATCGTGGTCTGCGACGCGAACGCCATCTCGAACAGCGGGCGCTCGACAGGGGCGACGGGGTCGGCGCCGACGATGACGGCCCCGGCACCGTCACCGAACAGGGTCTGGCCGATGATGTTGTCGATGCAGCCTCCCTCGGGCCCGTAGAAGGCGATGAGCGTGAGCTCGGAGCAGGCGACGAGGACGCGCGCGCCGCGGTTGTTCTCCGCGAGCTCCTTGGCGAGCTGGAGCGACCGCCCCCCGCCGTAGCAGCCGTGAAGGTTGAGGATGGTGCGGGACACCGTGGGGCGGAGGCCCAGCAGGGAGGCCAGGCGGCGGTCGGCGCTCGGGGCACGCGCGCCGGAGTAGGTGCTGAAGATGAGGTGGGTGATATCGGTGGCCGGGCGGCCCCACTCCGCGATGGCCTTGGCGGCCGCTTTCGCAGCCAGCTCCGGGACGGCGGCGGAGGCGATTTGCACGCGCTCGTCCAGGGACGGCCGCGTGGGGTCGATGAAGCCCGGATTGGCGGCCAGAAGCTCCTCGTTGAGGTGCAAGTAGCGCTGCCTGATGCCGGACTTCTTGTTGTTGCAGATCCTGCTGAGCTTGGCCTTGAGGTCGGTGAGGTGCTCGCTGTTGGTGACGCGGAAGTAGTAGCCAGGGTAATCGTCCTGGGCAATGCACGTCGGCGGGTTCGCCGTGCCGATGCCGAGCACGGCGGCCGGCCCATCCGCGCGCTGCGCCCGCCTCATCTCGTGGACGGTGGCCGGTGCGCTCCCCATGGACGTCGACGACGACACCTACGTATGTACCAGCAAGTAGTTAGCTGTCGCACTCGCGCTCCCGGGGATGGATGGTTGCGTGCGTCTTGGTGGTTTGGAGAAGCAGGAGGAGGTGCGTTCTATTTATACCATTACAACTGTATTATGGTCTCGATCACTTCTCAGCGTTCCGCGGAGAACGACGTGCGTGCGTGCGTTTTTATATATAAATTATATAATCGCATGTGGATTACTAGTATATATATATACACACACAATGCAAGAAGTACTTTTTTTTTTTTTTTCTTTCATCACTTCTCTATTGTGTATCTTTTCTGATGATTCTTTTGATCTGTTTTAATCTGTTTTTGTACACATCAAACAAATGATAGACGTGCCTGCAATTAGTAATGTATCCCTTGCCGCTCGCTAGATGTATATTTCATTTTTAACCGTTTATTTGTGATATTGAGATGAGATCCGATCCGTTCACACAACTGTTACACAGCTCAAGCAAAGCTTCTCGTATAAAATACACTAGGACGACACACACCTGTGTGTCGCATGCACACGGCCAGGTTTATATACAAGTATATATATGGTGTATATATGGGTATATATATATATCAATGTACCATATATATGTTGCTTCGTCTGTGGCTTGTTTATTTGTTTCTGCTTGTGTACGGTGTTCGAGGACCTGTGTGGTATTTAGGTGTTATACAGATGGAACATGGTGTGTGCTCACAATTTGATCATGCTTTTAAGTGCTGGTTTGTAGCGTAGCATGAACATTTTCCAGTGAATAGAACGTTGTTCTTTGGCCCAGTCTCAGTATTTCAAAGATGCCCATAGGGATAGAATAGAGTGTGTATGCATGTATTTCTACAGAGTGAGTGAGCACATTTGTGTTGGAAAAAGCATATATTTAAGTTTCGAGGCAAGAGTATCCATATCTCTGTTAGAGGTATAGGAAGAAAATAGAACAGAACACATTGGTGCTCCATCTTTACAACGAGGAGGACACCGATCAATAACTATATATACTAACAATAATTTGTCTGTCCTTTTCTTGGATTGGAAACTATGAACGATATTCTCTATTGCTTTGTTGGATTGGATACAAAGAAACAACGGCCACCAATATGTGAGCATGCCCATCCTTGATTATTCAACCATTGTCAGGAACGTCTTCTGCAAACAACAAAGGCGCCTGAAATCAACGAAACAAATGAATTGAGGAAACGTTCACTTGCAATCCATCTGTTGTAGAAAGCACTGAATTGACACGCAAAAATTAATCGCATGTGCATTACTAGTGTATACACAGTAGTACCTCTTCTTTCTTTGTTTTTCTTTCACTTCTATTGTGTATCTTTTCTGATGATTCTTTTTTATCTGTTTTGCTTGTTTTTGTACACATCTCACTATTACTCATTAGAGGCCCCAAAGGAGGCACCACGTTAATTCTCCCCAGACGTGCTAGGAAAAAAGATAAATCCTAGAAATTCTCACAACAATTAGAAACATTTGGTCCTTGATTTGGTAGACTCTAATCATCTTCACCAATAATAGTCATTAGATCTATCGTAGTTTTATTAAAAATTACCCACCACTGTCATTATGAAAAATACATAAAGTAACCCCTAATTTTCCATGTAAATGACCTACCTCTGCCATTACAAAAGATAATTCAAAATACCCCCCTAAACTTGCATCTAAATTACCCACCTTGGCCAGGAAACATAATTTAAAATTAACCCCTAAGATTGCGTCCAAATTGCCAAACTTTATCATTATGAAAGATAATTTAATCCTCTAACTTTGTATCCAAATTACCCGCATCTACCATTATGAAAGATAATTTAAAATAACTCCTAATAATTTTATAAATTATCCACCTTTGTCATTATGAAAGAAAATGCAAAGTAATATTCTAAGTTAGCATTTAACATACCCATATAGGTCATTGCGAAAGATAATATAAGGTTTTACCTTTATATTTGTATGTACCTTAGCTATTATAAAAAAATAAACAAAAATCTCTAAAATCTACATGTAAATAGTAATATATATTATTACAAAAAATCAATATCCATAAAGCACGATACATATATATTTCTAATTTATATACTCCTATAATCATGAAATGAAATAATTATAATGCTATATTTCACCATGTATATTAAATAAACATGTATACATTAGGATAAATATTTATTTTAACAACTTATGAAACATGGAAAAAAATTCACTTAACAAACCACATAGCAATAAAACTTTATATTAGTATTCCATGATTAAAGTTTTATAAGTTATTTTTTTAAATAAGTTTATATATTTTTACTGAAACATTATATCATATCAAATTTATTAATTTAATTTTATGCATACTATGATATATAAATAATACTACACATATAATACTATGATATAACAAATCCAACATTTTT